CGAACCATTCATTCAGTCAAATGAGTAGCTTTGCACCATGTCCGCTCAATAACTAAAGGGGTCTTGGACGTCTTTGGACATCATCGAGCAGGAGGGAACATGATTTTGATCAGAATGAGAAATAAAGGTGATTGCAAAATAGGAAGCCCTTGATAAGAAGCCGCAGAGAAAGCAGAAGATAATTTACGTATGGCTTCACGCTTTGATGGAGTCGGGGAAACCTACCTTATTCATTCTGTGATGAAATCCAGCGATAAAGAAACATAATCGAAAAGCACAGTTGGGATTGCCCTGGACGAGACGTTCATCCTTTTTTAAACGTAGTTTCAGTTAAATTTATTCGGACAATTCAGAAGAATCTTCCACGCTGGAAGAATATCGTTATTACTTGGATGTATGTGGACGAGATCACATGTACAAATTTTCTGTCTTACACTGACTGCATACCATATGCTTATGAAGACAAATTAGAATGTCCCGCTAACTTTAAAATATAATCAGATTGAATCTATTGATAATGGAATTGCACCAAAGGAGGCTGAATATGCCGGTCGAATTCGTACACGATTTTACAAACTCATTCACAAAGTAGGATCACATTGCGTAAAATAATTCTACGACCGGGTATGGCTTTATATTGAGATGTGGTTTTTCTCTCGTTCTTCTATTATTTTCTTTATTCTTCTATCATTTTGTAGCACGGTGGACGCCCGTATTCCTACGTGGCATCAATCATTGTATGTTGCGATATATATTCAGTACTAATATTCTTTCGATTTGTTCGCTTTTGTGCTCACGCATCCGAGTGGCAAGCATTATCAATAACACTGTATGTAGCTATCCCATCAAATGTTACACCCTCTATATTCTCAAGGGCATCCTGCACGTGCGCAGGATGTTATCCAATGAATAACTATTTTGAACTGTCCACATTGTAGACTGTCCGATCCCAATCTCCAATGGGAGATTGATTTCCATCAGCATTAGTAATACCTAAATGGTGTGAATTTATCGTCCCTGACGCACTGTGACTTTCTTGGCAGGGGATCGTTGGCTGGATTGCTGCATGTGATGGCCCGAATTCAGTTGTGTATCACCCATTTGGACAGGAAATGTTTGTGAGTTTGATGACATCATTATGTTCTGGTTATTAAAACCACCCGAGGGTGATCTCATAGGACTCGGTCCGTTATTCTGGCTCACCGGCCCGTAAAAACCATGATTCGTATGGTTGCCGTTTATGTACATTGGTGCATTAGCGTACCCCACGTTAGGCTGTGACATCCCGGATTGCAGATGTCTCTGCTGCTGCATGTGCTGAGGATGTTGTTGTGGTGATCTGGCCATCTGTTGCGACTGCGTTGATCTGAGTGACCCAGGTCGCATCTGCAAACCAGGGGCCGACGTAGGATTGATCAATCCAGTAGCGGGCGTGCGCGCGGAGCGAGGCTGTATTGTTTGACTCCCATTCATATTGTTATTACTTGAACTAACCGTTCCGCAGGGCGAGATGACCTGCCCTCCTCCGCCATTTGTGGCTGAAAGCCCTCCACTGGGAGAACGCAGGATTCTGTTGGAGACCTGCGCGGACAACGACGATGTATTGGAACCGCCAGAATGTTTTGATTGCAGAATCGAAGAAGAGGAAGATCGTATGCTGCCACCATTCTGACTAGCACGTTCTCTACTAAACTGAACGGACGGTGACTTCAGGATTCCAACCGGTGCCGAGGGCGTCGCGTGAAAGCTACCCGATGGGCTACGAGTGGCTCCATTGTGACCTACGGCTGCCGACTGATTGCCAATTCGCGGCGAGGACTCGGCGAAGGTTGTACAAGCCTGCGCGTTTGATTGAGAACTTTGCTGAGAGTGGGTCTTCTTGAGAATACTCTTGGGGGCTATCTGTGTATTTGAAATGGAACTGCTGGCACTCGGCGATCCAGCATATACCGATACGCTAGGTATGTAAGCGGACTGTGCATGTTCGCGCTCGAGCGATGTCCCAGGAATGGATAGATCCGATGCAGGACTGGCTGCGATGGACGAGCCTTTTACAAGGTTGCCCTCACGTTGTGCTTGTGGATGCGCTGTACGCTGCGGGGATGGATTAGGCCTGATCTGTCTCATGGCCATGTACTGAGTGACCTGGTCTGGTAATTCCTTGAGGGCGGCTCCTGCAAGCTCGGTAGGATTGTTACGGAATGTACGGTACGGTACGAATTGTACCATATCGCGGCTCATTTTGCATCCCTTCGTGTCAATTAGTGCTTCTGTGTCGGCGTCGAGTTTCTCCATTACACTGAAGTCGCAGCTACCCACACCAACGATGACTATCGACATGGCCTTTGTAGAGCATTCCACAATCTGGAGCATAAATTATGTGCAATAGCGGTGAGATACGAGCTTCCCCAGCACTAAAACTTCGAGCGTACACCTACCCACTTATCGACTGTGAGATCTACCATAGTGCCTGATAAGTAGACTTTTCAGCTTACATCCTGATGAAATTTGAAAAGCTAGAGCCGATTGATTGGAAACATGTATACACACAAGTCTTCATCGCCACAGCTATCCAGACTTCTATCCCATGCTCATTTACACTTACGCATGAAGGTGCTTGCGCTTCGCACTGGATGGCACTCACACGTCAAATCATGTTCACAATTTAAACTTTTGTATATCTTAAACTCACTCCGGTAGGGTACTGAGGTCACATCTAGCAAAGAACAAACCTCCTTTTCAGAACAAGACTACAGATAATATCGGGAATTCAAATTATGCTCACTTGTGCGGAGTATAAATTCTGCACCACTGACAGACCAACACGATCACAAGGTTCAGCGAGCTATAATCACACCCACACATAAGCCAGGCAGCCATACACCCATTCATTCACGCGTACCTGATCGATGGTATTCTGGAGATCGTCGACCACACCGTTGGTCAGAATCAACAGCACGGTGTACTTCTGCTCCGCCGAGGTGCATCCCTCACTATAAGTGCTGGCCTGTTGAACGACCTGGACCAGCTGAGAGGGGCCTGAGAATCCGACTGTTTGCTGGGCGTGTCTGTACTGAGCCAACACCCCACTTATACCGTGGCACTGGGCATTTTGTGGGTTGCCATTGAGTGGGAAGCAGTGACTCACCGCTTGCTCTGGAGACGGCCTGGCTCCAAATCCGTAGGCGGGGAAGAGCTGGTTGGAATCGTAACAGGCCAATATCTGCGATAAAGGTCAGGTGGTGCTCACAATCAGGGCGATGCATAGTTTTGGATACTCCAGCTAAAACTACGCTTAGCTGTTGCAGGCATCAGGCCGATGTGGCCCAGTACAGTTTCCGTTGAGGATTACTTCTTGCGAACGTCTAGAGATTTAAACGGCCCTAAAGTCGCTGTATTTTTACATACAATGCTTTGAAACTCAATTGGTCGATCAATCAATCGCCAACTATTTCACTACCTCACTCGTTTTGGGGACGGAATATACACACACTACTACACAAGCGATGGTTCTGTATCTTAGGAATACCTGACCAACGGAGATGGTAGCCTGGATGTACTCGTTTAGTAATTTCCCTCCGCAGTAGTGAAGACTATTCTTATCCGTAGGAAGCCCATTGATGGCTAGAGTACGGTGACAGAAAATGACTAACAATAAGTGACCACGTTCAAAGATAACAGGCATAAAACAAGAATGCGTTGTAAGTGCTTTGAAATCGGGGTGTCAATACCGAGAGGTGTACTACGAGTGTGGGTGATGAGCATGCATGGCGGACCGATTCGTGTAGAAATGTGGATACGTGAAATATACGCATCTGCTCATCTTGTGGAAAAACTATTAACCAAACCACATTAGTGAGTTTGTAAACTACGGTGTTCGATCTGTCATGGAATGGGGTATAGTATTACGATCTTAAACAGGGTATTCAAAGGAAACCAACATCGGTTTCGGCAACATATGCACACACCAGACGAAAGTTGGGATAGTAATATCAGAGTTGATTGATCATCAAGTCACTTACTTACCTGTGAAGTCTATTGCTATCATAAGTTCTAATTCCATGCCGCCTCGCAAATACTCTAGGAAGGTGAATGGTGAGCGAATCTCGCACATGTCACATATCAACATTCCAAAGTCTTTTTTCTTCTTCTTTTTCTCGTTCATTAAAGCCACATGTTTAACCTCTTTTAGTATCTGTCGTGGAAAACGGGACATCACTTGTGCATTTAATCGGGAACTTGACGGCAACTCTGAGTGTAATGTCAGAAAAACACACACACACACATACGGGCATGCACAAAATATCTATGTATGTATCAATTTAGGCATTTAGTTATTGAAGTTCACGCACACGCAAATATAAACTTATAAGCACACGAGTGCAATCATATATATTGTATATTGTATATTGTATATTATATAGATATATAGATATATAGATATATAGTTAGATAAATATTTGTATACTCAAAAAAAAACAAGTGTAAACTGACATGAAATAATAAACGATACGTCATATACCGTTTGGCGAGGACTAAGGTGATGACTGGAAAATATATACAGTGATCGATATTATCATGGATACTACTCGACGTCATAGATAATACTTGATTATTTTAGTGTTATGAGAACCAAGTGCAATACTAGCAAGCTATGAGCATACACACACACAAACACACACACATATATATATATATTATTCGCAGGTCGCCATTGTACAGATAGCTACAGTTGGGCGGTATAAACCACGAGCAGGTGTTAATGACAAACTGCCTACGACTATTGTGGGACTCATTATGTAGTTACATCAACGTTTAAAAAAGAGAAATCATAAATTCACTCACAGAAAACAATAGAAATTATCGTGGATAAGATTATTCTCTACATTATACAGGTGCAAATCCCACAAGTCATTGTGTCACCGCCTGCAGCCGAATTCGACAACTGTTTCTCACTAAACTATCCAAGGCTGTTCTCATCAACGCCATATAACACCTCTCTATAGTCTGGGCACAGCACCCATTGCTTCAGACACTAGCTACCTACCCCAAGAGAGCGTAGCCTCAGACATCATTTACTACAGTGTTCCTACATGGTAGACTAGCTGTGACATACTTACCTTGATCGTCGCCAGTGCAGCTCCAAGCAGCTTCTCGGTTCCGTCCTTGCTCAGATCAATGCACTCGATCAAAAGTATCCTCTGCTCGTCGCCGTTTACCAGCGTCTGGTATGACACTTCAAACTCCGGCCATATGGGATTGGCTGTGTTTTTGACCACTCCTGTTCTATGCACGGCATCGTATTGACCTGCATGTATGGGAAGGGACAGCAGGTGTAGGTGTCTGAGTGAAGTTGGCATTGGAACAGGATTGGTGTTGTAGAAAAATGTATATCGAAGAGCATGACATGAAGTAGGTTTGAAGGTGAAACAGTTGAGAAAAGTAAATCAATCCGTACACACCTACCATGCTGTTCTCGTGATAGAATGCATATCAGGAGTGGATATGGCATATCTCAGAAAAGGAACTGATCTGTTGGGTGAAAGTTCTACTAATAGTATAAATACGCACTTCAATTACATATGTACATACATACATACATACATACACACTGATACATACATATGTCCATACATACATACTTACATACTGATACATACATATGTCCATACATACATACATATCTGGATGTACTGTAAATACATAACCATATTAAAAGTCTCCGAATTCAGTTTGCAAAAAGCATCAGATCAACTTCAACAAACACTCCGGTATACGATGTAGATACATAAATGAATATTTTTATATGCCTAAATTTTTATAGACTATATATACTTATCGGTTCAATTTTATTAGCATGCTGTAGTGAATAAAAATAAAATTTAAAAATATCAATATAATACAGTAGTAATAGTAATAATAAAAATAAATATATATACCCACAAACCTGTGCATATAGATATAGATATATCCATATAAACTTACAAATTTGTAATATATATATATATATATACGCATATATGTCCACATTTTTTTCTTACGTATATATCTATATCTATATATATATATATATATAAGTATATAATATATACAAATTATTTATACATACATACATACATACATACACACACACACACACATATATATGTATTTGTAATATATGTATATATTTTAATAATAAGCTTTTTCCAATACATATGTACGGATACTTTTACATGTGTATGTAAGTTTATATATATATATATATATATATATATATGTTTTAATATGTGAGTTTACATATTTACTTACATATTTTTGTGTATATAGATGTATATACGTTTTTCACAGCCCAAACGTGTATACGTATTCTTTACATTAATATATTTCACTAAATATACGAACATATGGATGTTTTTATTTACATTTATACGAACATGAACATATTTATGTCAGATCGCAATGCCAAACTAACATCATTCGATTGCTCTTTAGTACCGCTGCTCCAATTGCGTATAGTGTATTAGGCATAGCAACGAAAATGAACAGGGTTCGCATCGTTGAGACACTGAACATACCATCTTTCCTTTGTCGCGATATTCGAAGAAATGTTTGGGATTTAGTGAAAAGCCCATCCTTTATATTTAAATTTCTTGCGGCTAATTGGAAGGCCACTATATCGTTGTTCTGTACCACTTCTTCGGCAGAAATACTCAAGGTTCCAGCCTAATGACATAATGATACCATGCAAAATATCAACGCCTGTTAAAGTCCACCACATTATATTGTATGTACGTCTTGGTCTGTAGAAAGCGTGTGTGATTTCATGGGGACCCGGGGTGATCCAGTACGAACAGAATATTTCAGTATGAAAATTGTGTATGAATCGAGAGAAAAACATGTGCGTATCACCAGGTGCATCGTGTTTTAACATCTAAAGTAGCTTGTATTATGAAAGTCCAATATATACAGCAAATCGGGCATTCGCATGTGGCCTTCACATTTTCTACGAGCCACCCAAGGTACGATAGAGGTAGTACTCAAAACTGCTATGCACATAGATGTCACATTTATCCCTGTGACACATTTGGTATTATCCTGTTGCTTTAGTTCTAACAGTCAATGTGCGATATTGAACCGCAGCACGAGGTTTCAGCAATACGCACGGAAGTGATAGTATCTCTAGTTTAGAATCACCTTTTTCTTCTTCTTCGGCGTCTTCAAATTTATTTGAAAGGCCTCACCTTTGCAGCCGACAATTTGGCCTAAGGTACAGGTTGCCAAACCAATAATATCTTGCTGTTCCAAATTTCCATCAGGTTTGTCTATATCCAAAACCAGAAATGTTATCTCCTGATGTGACTCGAAGACAAAGTTCGCCGTGATAGCTGTGGTGAAGATTGGGTCCAGATTATCGCGAACCACTTCCGTTTTACCTGTAAAAAAAGAAATAGTATACCTCAACTCAAATTGAATTGCATTGCAATGCTCATATTCACTCCATAACAGCGTGTCAGATTGCCGATTTCAATTTACGTTATTAGTGCGACCACTATCCTCAAATGACTTTGCGTAACATAGTACGATATTTAGAAGTTGAGGTCACTAACCTAAACACCTCAAAATTCTTCAAAATCATCTCATTCCCGATTTCATGTACATGTTGTCAGACTAGAGCGGCTGATAGTTGCCTGTGTACAAAATCTATTCATATACTGTCAGACAACTATAAAATATAGAGAAATTTTGCAGCTTCAGTGTAAATTTAACATGAGAATGACACATCAACAAATCATTGGATGAAGAGACAGCACACGCAGTAAAACTGCAAATAGATGAGCACCCTGTATAAACTCTAGGACTTTAAATGGAGAGTCAATGAGTGATACTTTCGCATGCAAGTGTAATTTGATTCGATTTCGTAACATAATGGAAGCTGCTATGTGGACCACCTAAATAAATACGATATGCGTCACCAAATGCAAGACAGTAACATTTCATGTGAATATAGTCGTCGCACGCCAACGAAATGACACTCGCTGCTCTTAGACTCCGTCGAGCGTATTTTAGATGACAAACTAAAACCACATATCTTGCCTTACAGATTGCAAAGGACATACAAAAAATCAGCATTAGCTTCTGATACGTTGCAAAATCAGCATTATAAAATGAATTCTGTCGCAATCCTCCTACTCGACTCACCCAATGAATAACAAGTATAGTGTCTGTTCTAACTTATACGCTTACAAAACAGAATATAACATACCAATGAGACGACCATATTTCCCACAATGTTCTGTGCTGGGGGCAGGTACATAGACCCAGACTTGAGGATCAGATTTGCTACGGATATCTAAGTCAAGTAAATTATGGGCCTTGAAGAACAAATCCACCTGAGTTTGCATGATGGCCTATTTCAATACACCTTGCGTAGTTCATTGGCAACACTTTTCTATGCGCATTCGTTGAAAGTAGTAAATACGCACAAGAGTGTATATTTGGAAAAAGGATTATGAAAAGGGATTGCACTTCGGGGGGTCCAACAAGGACTAAATGCTCAGTTCAAGTTTCACTGATCCTTAAATAAATATTTTAATCTCATACACTTGGCCGAATACTTTTTTTGTATATTTAATAGCTTCTTCATTCTTGTTGTAACTTTTTTTTACACATCAGTTGTTTTTAAAAAATAAAACTAAACGGCTTATTATAAGACTGCAATTGAGAGAGTATTTCTAATCTATTCAACAGTTGTATTGTAAATTTACTAAAAAAAACAAATATAGAACAAAACAAGAATACTAAATATTTACCATAGCCTTCTAAATTAAACATAAATATTTACAGCAAACGTAATTTATATATTTATTGTTCTTTTAAAAACAAAACCTCAATTTAAAAAAAATACAGCAGTGAGTCAGACAGTCTGTGACTGATGAGTGTGACAATGACACTGACGTCTGACGTATGTACTGACGTCTGACAGATTACGACTGACGGTGTGCAGCTGGAGCACACACTGTGCTCCCAGCACTTAGTCGCTTCAGTGCAGTGTGAGGCACTGTGAGCTGTGAACTGTGAACACTGAACACTCAACACTGAACAGGCTGCGGCCACTCAGTCCAGCTATCCCAGTCCTTAATGTCCAATTGTCCACGACTCCACTGTCCACTATTGACTTTCCCCGGTGAGTCTCACAGTCCAGACTCCAGAATTCCAGAGTTCCAGACTCCACCAGAGAGAGTGAGTCCAGTCTGTCCAGAACTTCAGTTTCCAGAGTCTAGAGTCCAGAGTCCAGGCCACTGTATCATCACTTGTGTATACATCAAAATTCGTTGTTTTTCTCCTGTAACAAAATACTACAAAATCCACAATTCCCCTCTTAGTCCGGGCGCCTTGGACTCTTGGGCCTTCTTAGCAAGTTTCTTGGGCCTTCTCTCTTGTTGTGGCAAGTTGCTGCCAAATTCCGCCTGCCGGTTGGTCCCCAGTTTAAGTTCTGAGTCTGACTTCTGAGACTATTTATGAGTTCTATTTTAAAAAATATCTCACTCTTTCAGTCTCTGCCTCTCTGTACTGAGATTACTTTTTTTAAATAAATAAAAATACTCTCATAATATGTATTTTTTAAATACTCGCCTTCTGGCCTTTTTTAAGTTTTAGCGCCTACTCTATAAAACGGCCTCAGGCCCCAGGGCCTCAGGGCCCCACCCCCCACGTGACCACGTCTCATAATCTCATTGCGTTATTGCGTTGTTGTATGTATGTATAAAATATGAGAAAAAGCCGAAAAGCGTTTGCGAAAAGCGCAAATGGGACTATTATTATAGGCTCGGTCGCCCGCACAACATAAAAAATTGGACGGAGAAAGGGGGTGGGATTTTTACTATAGAGGTTAACCAAAGCTGCCTTAAAAATCAACCTCATTGGCACTAACACAGATGTTTGACGTATACTTCTCATCCCGATTCGACTATTGGTTCAAAGTTATGAAGGATTCAAGTTTGTGCCAGAACTGGGTCAAACTAGCCACACGTAGGCGTTATAATATAAGTCCACTGCCCATCCATACCTAACAGACCTTTCTGGCATTATATGTACTGGAGACCGTAGCATAATACTTTAAAATGGTCTATGAGGGGTTATGTATGTGTGCGCATTCTAACCAGCAACTTTATACCAGTAAGAATATGAGGTATTTAAAATACATGTTCAGACTCCAGACTCCATATACGTGCACATAAAACCCCCCATAAACATGCTGTAATGCCAGAAAGGTCTGTTAGGTATGAATGGACTTGTATGATGCTTTCGTTTTGGCAGGTTGTCCCAGTTTTGGTACAATCTGAAATCCTTAATATTTTTTGAACCAATAGACTGATCGGGATGAGATTAAGTATGCGTTTATCACTCGTCAAGACGAATACTTTGTGTTGTCTAAGTGCTAATGAGATTGATTTTTTAAGGTATGCTGCCCTAAAACCCTCTAGATTAGGGTCGCGAGCAGAAATCAGGTTTCTTCCTACGACAATCGTAAATTTTAAATAAAAATTAGTAGAGAACAAATCCCATGCCCGGGATGGTAAAAATACCCCCCCCCCCTTGTGCCCCTTCTCCATACAATTATTTATGTTGTCCGGGCCTATTGTTTTTGGTTTTTTTTATATAAAATAGAAACAAAGATAAACAACGTACAGTGCACATAGTACATACTACCTTACTTATTTGTCACTCCGGAATTGCATACAGTTGAAATTCCGATGGTTTAAAAAAGAAAACAAAACGGGTTGTTTTTATAAAACTGAGAATTGAAACTGTCAAACCAGTGAAGCTATTCAGGATTAATAAAAATTAAAAAGTTATAATAGATGCAGCCATGCAGGAGAACTTGAGCCTCTCGAGGAAGCTTTCTTCTATCTATTTTAAAGACATGGGTTTGAAAATAATAATTATTGGTTCAGAGAGATTTAGTGGATGCTCTCGAATTTGAAAGGTATTTTGATTTGGTTAAAAAGAATAAACAGAGACCGGCCTTTTTATTGATCTATATTATGCTTTTTTTGCGCCATTGTAGAAAACAACAGTTTCTGGTTCCCCACAAGCTCAGGAGTCAGAGAGTTATTCTGTTTAAAAAAAAAAGAAGAGACTTTTTGTGAAAAGATACAAAACATACAATCTTTCATATTGAGATTTGGTTTAACAAAAACCAAAAACCAAAAATAATACTAACCTTCGCCCTTCAGTCTTCTGAAGAAATTTTTAGAGGGCTATGCAAAAATATTCAGTACATATTTCATATACATTTTGTTTAAAAAAAATTACAGTATGTGTCACTATCGTTTTGGTTTTGTTTTGTGTTTGAAAAAACAATCAAACCAAGAAAAAGGTAGTCACTAATTCACAACCAAAAAAAAAGGTCTAAATATTCGTTTAAAAAAACCCCCCCCACAAAACACACATGAGTCATGACACATAACAGTCACAGGGCCACAGGGTGCAACCCTTGAATCTTTGTTGGATTTGAAACTTTAGTGCCTGTCACAGTGAAAGATCAGGCAAAGCCGTCAAGAACCGATGGAAAATGGAGTTTCAGGCTGGACGGGGCACGTGGAATAGCTATACGCTTGAGATACGGTACAGTTTGTCCTATAAGAATGGCGCTGAGAGCTATTAGCTTTATTGCACACTGTAGCAATGATGTCACCCATACCATTCGGTCAGTCAAGGAGCGAATAGCGCCGTACAGCCTTACAGATAACATTATGTTTATATATTCACTCTTGTCTGTACATATATATCTATTCAGGCGAGGTAGTTTAGCACATACATTTCTTTTATTTACAGTATCAGACTCCCTTAGTCATCGAATTTCATCTTTTTTCCATCGAATTTAGCTTCCGTCTGTGCCTTCCGTTTCATCGCAGCGGCCCAAGACGCGTGGACATCCGCCGGTATTTCTATGAGAGCAAATTTATTACAGTCAGTGACCATTCAACATAAATGATACTTGTACAACGTGATATTTTACCATTATTTCTTGCACAGGTGAGCACTCACAAAACAAAGACAAGGTACTGGAAGTACTTGCTGTACATGCTGGAAAATAAAACACTCTTTGTATCGCGCCACCACCTTTAAATGCCTCTTGCCTAAACTATTTTTTTCTTCTCCAATTGAGATGAACCGTTGCATATTGTAAATCTTCTGAATTGAACCTTTAGCCAACACGCATGTTTCAGCAACCTATATATGTCCTGATACAGATATATCGCTATGCACCTGCACTAGAGCTCTATGTATCTGTATCTATATGCATATATTACTGGAAATTGTATCCACACAATTGTATAAGTGAGAATGCTGATGATACACGGGGAAATCAGATACTCTAGTTTCAAAATACATGTACAATGATACGAACCAACCAGTCTGCTATTCTGGAAGAACATCGTTCTTTCACGTCTTCGCACGCTTTTGAAAACGAAAAATCGCCCAGCACCTACACCAAGATATCCATCCACAGAAGCAACTATATCAGCGAGCACAATACATACCAACAACTGGCTGCTTAGGCTTCGCATCCTTCGTTACATCCTTAGGCTTATTTGCATCCCTAGGTTTGGAATTCTTGATATGGTTGGCCTCGTTCCCGTGTGTTTCCTCAGCCAATTTCCTTCGTGCCTGCTGACTCATTCGGTTGCGCTTTTTCTTCTCCGGGGCCTGATCGCAGCATAGATGATTGGCAGTATACACAATGAGTAACGAGAAAAAATCGTAGACCTAATTGGATGATGATAAACTACCCCAAAACTTGCAGGCTATAGCTTACATACATATCGTTCTGCAAGCAAACCTACCGGAAATATACTACCGGAGTGGAAAACGAACGTACGGAACAATAATCAAAATACAACAGTGTTTATAAATTTACGTACACATTCGTCCATGTACCAGCATGAACCAGTATACTTGCATATACATACGTCTGTATATACATTGTGTTCGTCCCTACCACATACCTTGATCATACCCGGTAAATCGTCTTCACTGCCATCGTCAGCGAGTACGGCCCTTTTCTTCTCCTTTGCCTTTCGCTGTGCTTCCTTCCTGCAGAACCGGTATGCAATTGACCACACCGTGGAGTGTCAGTGTGCATAAGGCCGGATAGGGGCAACAAAACGCGGGAGCATGTGTATAATTGTTTCCTCATATATATTTATAAAATATGCGAACTTGAATTTTACAATCAATGCATGTAGAGTCCATGTGGATGTGCATCTCTACATACCTACAGCTAAAGAGAGAATCTGGATAAAATTTTATATGCCAAATAGATTAACGGAATAATAAATTGAAACTAAATATTGTAAGAAAGTAGATATGGACACGTAGGCATTTCTATTCGAAAATCAATTTCCAACGCAAAAAAACCCACATATACGCGTCAAACGTATATAGATGGTATAGAACAGCAGACTATGTGCCCTATCTTCATTCGAGTCGGCCTCAATCATGTCTTTCTAACCACATTCCCTTGTCCCGCATGAGCAAAGCCACCGCACTCAACAAACACACAAGTACACACACACACGTATATATATATATATATATATATATATGTGTATACACACACGCACACACACACACAAACATATATATATAATAAATACATACAGGAGTAATTTAAATGCTTTAATTCATACATATATAGAGTATATGAATCAAATACAGAAACGAAACAGACAAGGTACGCAGCTATACCTGTGACAAATGTTTCACCCTAAAACACAAAAAATCGCACGCATCCAACATAGTCCTTCTCGGACCCTATTTTGTCATATGTGGACTCACCAACAAACACACCAAGTATACAAATATGAACACCAGGTAGGCACCGTATCCGTATCACGAGACACACCTGACATCCTCCTTCTCGGCTTCTATCCTTTCTTTCTCGGCACGTTCTTTCTCTCGCACGAGTATCTCCTGGCGTACCTTCTCCACGGGCTCTGATCTTAACAGTCGAATCGCCGCCAACCGCACCACATTAGGGGGCCCCAACACCTTTTTGGCCACTGGTTTGTCCTCGTCAGTACCCTTGGGCGTATCTGTGACGGTGGGTTTCCCCTCTGTCGTACTTGTAGCCTTTTCGCCAGTTTCCGTAAACGCTTTGGGTTCAACGGCTGCGCTTGGCGTCTCAGCCTTGCTTGTCGCGCTCACTTCCTCCTGTTTGACCTTCGTTTCACCGTCACTATCACTGCCACTGCTACTATCTGAGGTACTCGCTGAAGCCTCGGTCTTTTCTTTCGATTCACGGGTCTTCTTCGAGGCCTCTGAAGCTTTGTCGTCACCATCGCTGTCGCTGTCACTATCACTGCTACTGGATGAATCCGAATCCGAGTCCGAATCTGTATCCCCGCTGTAAGGGTAGATGTGGTATAAATACCCGTTTATGTACATACACTGAAATACGGTATGCTACAGAGAAACAACGTTAACATACTACAATGAAAGTAGCAGGAGAAAACTCGCTGGTGTCAGAGAATTCGTGCTCGGCGGGTTTGCCGATTCCTCTGGCCTTTATCACGAACGTATACTGACAAATCCATTACCGCAAGTCAAGTAGGAAGCTCTATGTCTTAGTAAATGTACATGTCCAATAAATAGCTGAGAAGAAGTTGACCATCTCATCGGCGAGAGTACTTGAACGAAAATGTGTACCCAAAACCAAACAGAACTGTTCACTGGCTATTATTCTAAAGGAAATAAAACATGCATATATATACGTTAACTGTACAAGGTTATGAATATGGAAATAGCTGTGTAAATACAATAATATTCATAAAAATATGTATTCAAAATAGATATATATATGATATAATGTAATATAATAATAATAATAATATATATACTTGAACTAATAAAAATAGATATTCATCAAATTATATGTATAAATGCACAGACACAGACACACACATATATATATATGAGAACACATATTACGTTCTTATGCTTCAAATCAATGAGCAGTATTATTTCAATTGATGCTTACCTGTCCTTGGGTGCAATTGTATCCAGGGCCACGGTAGGTTCTCCTTCCAGATCGGGGTAGTGTTTAAGTAATAACCTCTCAATATTCTTCGTCATTTCTAAACTCTCCAATTTGCACTTGCCTAGAAAGCCTACCTGTGATGATATATAACGATAATTGATAAATCCATACAATGATTATGTGTATGAACGAACACCTATGTATATAGAGCTACATGTACACATACACGGCAAACTTAAACATGGTGCAAAGTGTACTTCAATGTACACGATGAAAAGCACGAATGCGTAGATCGAGCAAAGCAACTGCATGTACATGTATACACAAAAACACGCACACAATCTGGCATGACAGACATTTCAAATCGCATGAAATTACTCAAGGCCATAGTTTATACACATTTCGCACGGATGACTGAAAGATGCGTAAAATGAAAGCATCCACATCACGTAGAACACATCCATCCCGTCAACGAGTGTAGATATAATTATGTTCCTTATCTGGGTGGTAGGTAGCACTAGCCACATCCCGTCAACACATCCATGTATCCCCTATCAACAGTATGTGAAGTGTGGATACATATATATTCCGGGTGAACGCCAGGACTATTGAATGCAAACCTACCATGCCTACGGAAACAGCGGCCATATTTGCAAGCTTCAGAGTCTTGAGAGCAGCCGCCATCTTCTCGCACTTTTCGATGTCCTTCTTCTTTGTGTCCACAAGGCCTTTGGGAGCCGTTGATCCAGCTTTCTGCACGCGTTCGAGATTGTATCTGCACAACAGATGGAGATGGAAGATGATGAATGGAAGGAAGGTTTTCAAATGCAGGTGAAACGATGTGCATACAAACAAATAAGGTGTATATATACTTTACATATAATGCATACACAAACGCACTCACTCACACACACACGCACACACACACATATGTATATATATATATTATTTATAGGTAAATATATATATATATATATATATACTGATACATACATAGATTTATTTATATAATAAAATTTATAAAATATAGTATATATATACATGCATACATACACACACACATATATACATATACATACATATATATCACACATATACACACGCGGTACACAAACGCACACACACACATACAGACAGGACACTAACACAAACTCATATATATATATATATACAATTCAATATCTAGACGCACACATACACGCACACACATTTATATATATACATATATATAAATTTCAATTCGTACACACACAAACACACACACATATATATATACGTATATATATGTATATACCTATACATAGGTACATAATATAGAAAAATACGCATACTCATACAGACACTCGCACACAAACAC